CTCCTTGAAATGAATCTACACACATTTTCACCCTCTTTAAACCAGTTCATCCATCTGCATGTCATTATCCTGAACTGTCTGAGATTTTGCATTTGAGGTTACAGTATGGGAACAAAAACATACTTTTAGGACAGTTATCCCAGGTCAGGTCATACTCCAGCTTAAACAAATCATCACAGCTTCAAGTATTTAAGCTGCTGTTCCCAGTTTTAAATAGTCTTAATCTGCCAATTTGTTAAACACACATACTGAAGGTCTGCTGTGTGTTGCTGGAGAAGTCCAGCAGTAGCAACAATTCCCCTACAGGTTCTCCAGAAAGTGCATAGTTTAGTTACTTTTACAAATATCTAGTTATAAACCAAACCTCTAGATCCTTACAAAATGTGATTTAAAAACTGCTTTTGACTTTTGACTGTCATATTACTTAGACATACTCTATTACAAAGTAACTGTGCTGCAAGAATAGTGTTCTACAGCTTTTACGTCAGCCCATTTGTTTAAAATAAACCCATCAGTCTTCTGACTTGATAAATGTGCACAAGTATTGGTATCTGGTTCTTTTTGTCTTGGTTCTTTGCATGCTTGGAAAATCTCACAAAGTACCTGAAACGGTCATGGACCTTCTCTCTTTTTCTTTCTTTTTGTCAAGCCTCCTCTGTATTAACAGGATGACCCTTCTCGACTACCCCATTCCAGATCTGGATGTTACCTTGCAAGAAGTGAGCCGTGTTCTGCAGCTTACTTTAGGTCCCGATCTTTACCCAGAGTTCAAAAGAACGTTGCAACAACAAAGAGAGCTCCTTAAAGAAGCCCAGCAGAAATTAGCAACCAGTGCTGCAGGCCAAGAGAACTGGGTGACAAAGCAGTTCAAAAGAGGTCTGTTGTCTTGTGCTGACCCTCTCCCCATCTCCACAGCACTCCCTGTAATTCTTCTTCCATCTAAAGCAAAGAAATGTAACCAGCTTAGTAGAGCAGCTGCTCTGCTCTGGGCAGCAGCAAAGCTTTACAATGAGCCCGTCTTATTGGAAGGCAATATTCCAATGGAGCACACCCAGCAGGCTGAAGTATTCGCTGCCACCCGTATTCCTGGGAGGGTTCAAGATGAAATTAAGGTGAGATTAATAGCAGTACAACTATCTTGATGAATCCTAAAAGACTTTATTCTTTATCTATTGATGTAATAACCTACTGAATGTATATCAAATATTTTCTAATCTTTCTTTGTAATTGCAGATCTTCCCTGACAGCCTCCATGCTGTCATTACCTGTGTTGGCGGAGTGTTCCCTGTTGACATACTGTGGCGACCGAGCACTGGTGGGCCAGTTTCTGCGCGGTCATTTATTGACATCTATAACCAGCTTGCTCAGGTGATGGCTCAACCCAGGGCAGGGAAACAAAATGATCCTTCATCCATTTGCAACCTCACAGCTCTGGAGCGTAAGACCTGGGCTGCGAGAAGGGAAAAGATCCTTGAGGAAGGAGGAACAGCACTGACATCACTAAGGCTGATGGAGAGTGCTATACTTACGCTCTGTCTGGAAGACTATGATGCACCCTCTGAACTGGCTGATATCCTCAATGCAGTGAGGCTGGGAGGAGGAGGACACAATCCATCTCTGAGATACTATGACAAGGTAATGGAGGGAAACTAAAACAAGCTTAGTTCAGCTGTATCAGCTCTTTACCGCGAAACTTTATTATAGTTTTAACAACTGTTAAAAGATTTAAAGCCTCAGAGTAGTAATTAAGAGTTATAATTAAATAATTTGTTTATTGCTTGTTGATTTGTAGAGGACATCCATCCATCCATTTTATACTACTTATCCAATTCAGGGTCAAGGAGGGCAAAGAAACCCAAAATAATCCCTTTCTTTTCTGTGTTTTTTGACAGGTGTTGAACCTGGTTGTGTTCAAAAACTGCACAGCTGGAATGGTGTTTGAGCACAGTGCTGTGGATGGGATGGTGGCTGGGCTTGTGACTGAACATGTGTATGATCTGTCGGAGACTGTTGACTTAAACCCACTGCATACTGGCACTGAAAACATGACTGGATCTGTTGCAGTAAACAATATTAATTCTGTTTGTCCCCATCCTCTACCATTCCCTTTACAGGGTGTAAATACCCCCCAACAGAGCCTCGATTTAAAAACAAACCACCCAGTTCTCACCTTTGACATCTCCTCCTATCCTGATGTCTTCTCTACTCTCAGAGGGCACAGAGGTCTATATGATGCCTGGATCAACTTCTCTTTGCAGCTCTCCATGAGGCAGACCTTTGGGGAAGCTGCTTCAAATCACATACTTGTCACACCTTCCCATATGCGCCACTACAAACATGGTCGTTGTGATCCTACATACTCAATCACCACGCATTCTCGTCAGTTAGTAGGTGCCCTGGCATCCTGCATTGGTCCAGATAACGCCATCCAATACACTACTGACCTACTGCAGTTGTTCCATGTTGCATTTCTGGAGCATAAGAAGCTAATAAAAAACACCAAATGTGGTCAAGGTGTTGGCCCCCACCTAGCTGCTCTGCGCCGAGCTTTGCCATCTGAAAATCCCTTGAAAAGGTTCCTGGACCCTTTTGGGTGTCCGTCTGTGTATCTGACAGGTACAGATCTCATGGAAGGAGTAGAGTGCGGAGTAGGAAATGTCTATGCTCAAGATCAGTTGGCTGTAACCTACCTTGGGAAGAGGGACAAGGTTCGCATTGTGCTTAATGGGAAAGGTAGCTTTGCTCTTGCACTAGACAAGCTCCAACAAAACCTCAAGATGAACCTGAAGTTATTGATGCTTCTAGCTGTTAGATATGCCATTGCAAGCGAAATGGGAGCCCTTGAGTGTCTACTTCAGCAGGGTCAAAAAGAGAAACTTAATGGAGAGAAAATTCATTATCCAGAGAGCACAGACAAAAGCACTGCTGGTAGTACCCTTGGCATGAGTCCAGACTACACTCTAGTGATTCATGGGGGTGCTGGAGAAGAGATAATGCTGAACTCCCAAGTAATAGGGGTCATTGAGTTTGCTCTACAAACAGCCTTAACTCTCGGATCCCAAGTGCTTCAACAAGGTGGCAGTAGTCTGGATGCAGTTCAGAGGTCAGTGGAAGCTCTGGAAGACTGCTTTCTGTTCAATGCAGGTAAAGGTTCTGTATTTAACAAAAATGGCAAAAATGAAATGGAAGCAACCATTGTGGATGGCAGTACAAAGAAGTCAGGATCTGTTGCCTGTGTGCAAAGTCTAAAGAACCCAATAAAAGCAGCTAGGTGTGTAATGGATAAAAGCTCACATGCACTGATCGTGGGAGACGGAGTTGAAGAGTTTTTTGAAGAGCTTGAGGAAAAGCAGAAGCCCGTTGGCCCTGAGTATTTCTACACTGATGTACGTCACAGAGAGTTAACTGCAAAACTCAGTAGTGGAAAAAACTCCAAAAACAATCATCCACAGACAGTTGGTGCTGTGGCCTTGGATCGCTGGAATAGATTGGCTGCTGCAACCTCTACAGGCGGGTTGGTAGGAAAGCTGAAAGGGCGAGTTGGGGACACAGCAGTAGTAGGAGCAGGTATATATGCTGATGACAAGTTAGCCATTACCTGCTCTGGAGATGGGGATGTCTTTTTGAGGAACACAGTTGCTCAGAAAATAGCAAGTCTATACCATCATAAAGGCCACAGCCTTAGGGAAGCGTGCAGAGAAGTGATAGCTGAAGATCTGAAGGAGATCTGTGCTGGAATCATTGCTGTGGACGCTAAAGGTGATGCCGTCATTGAGACAAATGCTGGTGTGATCTTTGTGGCCTCAATGATTTGTGGCATTTCACGAGTAGAGGTCCTCAGACCCCTGAGAGATCCCCCTAATGTTATCTGGGAAACAGATGAGCTTGTTGCTTATCTAAATCCCAAACCCTGGATCCCTGGAGCAACGATTCTGACTAGAAAAACTCTTAGTGGGGCAAGCAGCATCTTCCACTTAGCTACAGCTGATTTTGTTGCTATGCTACAAGGAGCAAGAGTTGTCTCAAACTTGCTATGTGAGCGACTGGGAGTGCAGCGTTGTGCCTTGGTATTCAATCCAAGTCCTGGTGAGCCAGCACAAATCAGACTCCTCCCTCTTCATGGCTTAGAGCCAAAATGGCAGCCCCATCTTGCTAGTGAAGAAGAGTTCCACGCTTATAATCCTGGCTATTGCACCTCAAAAAGTGGTCCACGCTGGGATAATGAAACACTGGCTCGGGTTCAAGATAAGGTTAGAAGTGCACTGCCAACACCAAATGCACCTTTTTGCTATGATTTTTTGGGGGACCTATCCAATGACAACCTGTTCAGTCGCATTGTTCGTGGGGAGCAGCAACAGTGGAGAGTGTGGGAAGACAGTGAGTTTGTTGCCTTTCTGACACCTTATCCAAACAGTCCTGGTCTAACTGTTGTGGTGCCACGCAAACCTCTGTCCAGTGACATCTTCAAACTGAAGGAACCTGACTACACAGCACTGATCTTGGCCACTTACAAAGTTGCTCGACTGCTGGAAGAGGGGATGAAAGCTCCAAGTGTTGCACTGATCTTTGAGGGATTTGAGATCGACTATGCTCATGCCAAGTTGATCCCTCTGTTACCTTCACCAGATGGCACTAAACCTGCTGAGCTGCAAACAGAATGCTTCCAAAGCTACCCTGGATATGTTTCATCACTGAATGGTCCACCCGCTGACTCTGAAACCCTCAAAACCATCCACTTGAAAATTACCCAGTGCAAGCCTGCTCGTTCCTGGACAGATCCTGACTCTCACTCCATGGCAGCCATCAAGAGCCAGTGGTATCGAAACCTTTTCAAGATCCAAAACACTCTTTTCCACAGCACAGTGGAATACTTCAACAGTTCCTGCCAGTACTCATATGCTCTGACACCTCTCACCACTGACACCATCTCCTCACCAATGGGCCTGGGTTCTGACTCAGAGCCAGTTTCTGTCAATCTCCTGGGCCAGGGTGTGTACCTTGCTGACTCAATGCAATTTGTCCTGGAATACTTCCTTCGCTTCCAGGAAAACCTGCCAGGGACCTACTACATATCTCCCAGCTTCAGAGGGGAAGATCCTGATGCCACACACTTAAACCAGTTCTATCATGTGGAGTGTGAACTGCAGGGTGACATGGACAATGCAATGTCCATAGCAGAGGGATACTTGGTTCATCTCACCAAGTCCATGTTGAAGAAACACTCAGATATAATCCTGAACACTGCTGGGACCCTTGCACATGTCACAGCTCTGCTCAGTAAGCTGGAGGGAAAATCCAGACTTTCAAGAGTCTCTCTAGACCAGGCCATCCCCATGATGCCCTCTGCTGACTGTTTAGAGTGGGTCCAAGATGGTCAGCCGAATTTTGGCAGAAAGTTAACACGTAAAGGAGAGCGGGTTTTAATCGAGAAATATGGTGGAGCTGTTTGGCTGACCGAGATGGACCATCTGGCAGTTCCATTCTACCAAGCATATGTGGAGGGCACTGGGCAACGCAAAGCCAAAGCTGCCGACCTTTTGCTGGGGCTGGGTGAGACTGTAGGTCTTGGTGAACGCCATTCAACTCCTGAGATCGTACAAGAGGCTCTGAGGCATCATGGAGTGTCAGAGCAATCTTATAAATGGTACATTAACATGCGCCAAGTGAAACCACTCCTCACCAGTGGATGGGGTATGGGGACCGAGCGCTACTTGTGTTGGTTGCTCCAGCATGATGATGTCAGGGATATACATATCATCCCCAGGATGAAAGGGGTTAAGTACATGCCTTGATTATGAGTTTTCCACATTTTTCAAGCCATTGAAATTGACTTGAAAAATGGCTATAATGCATGTGGAATTGTACCATGAAAATGTTTCAGTAATCCCTAGATTACTAGAATTTTCCTCATATGTCTTGGACAGAAGAAATCTCTTAGAGCTCCCTTAGTGCAACCTGGTCATTGACACTCTGCAAATTTTTACAACTCCAGCAGAAGCTGTAAAAGAAAAAAAATATGTATTTAAATGTAGAGTGGTAAGATCACAGCATTAATGTGTGTGGAAATGCATGAACCATTAATCGATTTTGAATTATGTATACATGTTCTTGTAATGAGACTGATTCTCACTATTGACAAAATTCTTATTTACTGGGTTTAAATTGTAGTAAATACATTTTAATTGAGTGATAATTTGACAACTTTACATAAACGTTGTATACTATTTTAAGTGTCACTTCTTTATATTTTTCATGATGTCATATTTTTTGTTGTTGTTGTTGTTTCTATCACATTACCTTTTTATGTAAATGTTTTTGCTGAGGTCAAATGGATTGTGACTCACTGATGTTTGCACTCAGTATTATCGATATTCAAAAGAACTATTGGATCCAAAATAAATATCAGTGACAGATTTGTATGATTACTGATGTATCCAATTGACCCTTTTCATAAGAGATCTACATTCTTGAGACTAAGAGATATATGTTTTCATGCCATTGGAGTTTATCAGAATAAAAATCAGAATACGTTAATAATCCCGTTTAAGATAGTTTAATGATATATATCAGCTGTTTAAAATGATAACAGTGTCAACTGCCTCAGTGTCATTTGGCAAAGTTGGTTGGTCACCGATACTGCAAATAGTCTCACATTGCTCAGAGCTATTTGGTTTATTGTTGATTTAATAAATGTTTGTTGATGCAACTAAAAAGATCATGACTTTGATGTTCTTATAAAGTCTTACATACACATACATATTATATTATACATATATACTGTTCTCCACAATAGAGAAAAATTACAGAAAGTTCTTTCTTGATTGCATTAAAATTGATTGTATCAGTTTTCATCTTTAAATATTAATTAAATGTTTATTTATTTGTCAATTTTAATCCATCCTTCCAACAAAATGTATTAGAATTATAAGTGACACTTGGACAAAAAATTATGCTACATGCATTCACAATTTTAACATGAAACAGCAACCAGTCCTCCAGACAGAATTCCAGAATCAGCAGTTTAGTATGAAAGAAAGAAAAGTATGAAAGAAAAAGTATATCTTTGGCTTAGACTTTTGAAAAACAGCCACGGCTGATGTTTGTCCAGGGTCTCTCTGGAGGGTAATTCCTGAGTTTTAGTGCAATGATAGCAAATGCATGAGCTCCATTTGAAATATGCTTTAAATGCGGGATGCATATCCACCACGTTTGCAGGTGCGAGACCATTTAAGGCTTGAAACACAAACAGTGCCAATTTATACCTGATTCTGTAACGTACAAAAAGCCTTCCAACACCGGAGTGATGTGAGCTCTCTTTTTTTGTCCCAGTCAGTAATGTGGCTGCAGCATTTTGGATAAGAAATGATTGACTAGCTCCGGTGTACAGTGCATTACATTACCCGTGTTTAGATACAACAGACATATATATAACCCTTTTCCAAATCAAGTTTAAGAAAAAGTTCTTTGTCTGGAGACTGCTGTTCCTTACCACAGCAAAACAGTGAAAACATCACCTTTTTGAACTTTAAGACCTCAGTACTACACAGGTATCAGCCATAACCTTATTTCAATATAGATTCATAGTATTAAATTAGTTATTATTATTAAATAAATAAATTAAAAATAAATAAATAAATGTTGTGTCTTTGTGATTTGGCGCTATTTTAATAAAATAAAACAATTTCTTAAAAATATAATTTGACGGACAATGTCATTAATTCAAAATAAAAGCGTAAAAAAAACCCCACTAAAAACTGACCCGGATATAGTGTATGAATAGCAGACTATTTCTTTCCGGTTTCCACTATCGACTCTGACCCCCGGCTAGAGCAGAGGTGTGCTTCCCCCAGAAGACAAACTATCTTTGGTCCTTTTTTCCTGAAAAGTAGGTGGCTTAGATTTGTTTTGTTGTGTCTTTGTATGGCTCGTTTATCCTCGCTCGCATAAACGTTTCAATGACCATATTTTGTCCATAAAGCTGGCTGAAAGTAAGGTCAGCGCTTGCTTCGGCAGCTAGTTAGCGTGTTGTGCTACAAAGAGATGTGACTTGATCCAGCCATTTTCTAAAGACTAGTGAGCCTCGGTATGTAACACGGCAACGCTTTCTTTTCGCTGATGAAACGATCCCATAACCCGTGCTAGAAAACAGACTGCGAGCTTTAGTGTTTACTTGGTTAGGTTTACACAGAGGCTAACGTGGCAGTCTGAGCTGACACTGCAGCTGTGTTTTTACAGCGTGTGGCATGTTTGGTTTTACACTTTAAAGGCTGGATTTTTACACGGATGAAGCCATTTCTAACTGTCACTTCAGTCCTCTAATCATCTACCCTGTGCTCACCCTTTGCACAGGAGCAAGGGTATCCCCCTCCTCTCCATGTGCGATCCCTGATGGGCAGCTGGTCTCGCAGTGCCGTGCTGGAGCTCTACAGGGCGCTGCTCCGGGCAGGCCGACACCTTCAGTACACAGACCGGAATTACTATCGCCGCGCCGTGGCTCGCGAGTTTCGCCGCTGCCAGGCACTGACGGTCCCGGAAGATAAGGAGGAGGCCCTGAAAAGGGGCCGGTTCTTTCTCAGCAGCCGACTGGGTGGGCTTATGTAGGAGGAAGGGGATCAGGGGCCATCAGGTGGTGGGTTAAAGGTTGTCCGAAGGTCCATCTTCCAGGTGGGTTTACACGTAAAACGTCAGGAGTAAACAGACATTCTTTGTAATGGTTTAGTTTGTAGGAAGTGATGTAAACAAGATCACATGGTGATGAGCTATCCACTGATTTCTCGCCTCTTGCCACCCTAGACATCCTGACTCCACTTCTTTTTTTCCCCAGTGCCAGGATGGCGGGGGTGAACGGAGACCGAAAAGGAAAGAAGGATGATAATGGGATTGGAACAGCTATTGACTTCATGCTTTCAAATGCCAAACTTGTGCTGGGGGTGGGAGGGGCAGCCATGCTTGGCATTGCAACACTAGC